TCCGCGTTTTGGGGAACGTGTGGATTTCAGGGGCCTGGAGAAAATACGCAGCATCCTGTGAGGTTCTGTTTCACGTCAGGAAAGAGGGAGCGGGGTTAGTGCAGTGAACGCTTCGCATGTGTCAGGCTCCAGCCCGGGTAGGCTGCATTCGTCCCCATTTAATCCTCCACAGACTCTGGGCGTCAGGGGAGGAAACGAGGGGTCAGAGGCCTTTGCAAGCCCGGCTGGGATGGGCATTTGGACGCGGGTCTGGGGAGACACGGGAGCTCTTCTCCTCGCTGCTCTGCAGAATTCACCTGGGGTCCAGCTTCCTCACCACCGGAACTGTGGGTCCCTCTTCTCAGAAGCCACGAGCTCGGGACCGCGGAACCCGGCTGCCGAGGAGCGGACGACGCCGGCCGGTTTGGATCCCGGCCCCGGGTCAGCCGAGCGTCACCGAGCAGCTCACTCGCCCTCTCTGAATCTCCGTTTCCTCGCCAGCCAACCCGGGTGATAACGACCTGCCTCGTAGGGTTGTGGGGTTCACCTGAGTTCCGTGGAAGTGCTGGCCCCACACGAGCTGGGGGACACTGGCGGCCCCGTCGATGGCCCATGGAATAGGGCCGCAGTGTCAAAGGGCCTGGCTTGGATCGTTCAGCGGGTCACGTGAGCATTTTGCTTTGAGAATATTCTTGTAGAAAAGCCGTGACGGTTTTTCCCTTCGTGGATCCTTTGGAAAACGTTGCACGGTGACAAGTGAGGGCACTTGGAAACGGGCCATGTGGTCGCCGGGCCGTGTTAGCAAAGCCTGATCTAGGCGAGGGCACCGCTTCCCGAAGACACAGAGTGGCAGGGGTCTCTGTCAACGCATTAGGGCCGTTGCTGGAGAAGGCGCTGTGTCCCCTCTTCCTGCCTGATCCGTACACCGTGGGAGGGGAGAGGGGACAGAACAGCAGGTGTCCTCCCCTTTGGGAGGAGCCGGTGCTGGTGCGACTTGCTTTTTGCGGCACCGCCTGACCCTCTGGTGTCCAAGGCACCCTCTAAAGACAGAGAACCAGTTAGCTGACTCGCCGCCTGGGGACACTGAACTGTCCAGCATTCTTGCTGTGACTGTAGAAGCAGCCCAGGATGAGGCGTGCTTGTTTTCTGTGCTTGAGACATATTCTGTCCGTACAGCAGCGGTCCCCAACCTTTGTGGCACTGGGGACCAGTGCTCCTATGAGAATCTGATGCCTGAGGATCCGAGGTGGAGCTGAGGCGGTGATGCTGGCGCTGGGGGGGGCGGCTGCAAACACAGATGAAGCTTTGCTCACTGGTCACTCATTTCCTGCTGTGCAGCCTGGTTCCTAACAGGCCACAGACCCTTTCTGGTCTGGTGGCCCAGGGGTTGAGGACCCTTGCTGTAGAGGATCGAATGCAATCATCCCTCTGTTCATTTAATAAGCCCGCTTTGAGCTTTTCCTCTGTCGTAGCCCTGGGCGTGGAGCTGAGAGGCGGACGGAGAAGCAAGCTGCGAGGTCCCCTCTGGGAGTCTGCAGTCTCTGGGCCTGGGGGGGCGAGAGTAACACCACCTGTGGGTGAATGCAGAGGGCCCAGGGGGCTCTGAGGAGGGCGTCTTAGCCGCCGAGCTGATCACCGGAGTCACCGGAAGGAGGCGGATGTGAATGGAGGCCTGGGTGGTGTTCTGAGCAGCAAGGAGAGGGGACAGGACAGAGAGGAGGAGCATGTGCTACGCCCGGGAGCGATGACTTGTCAAATGGATTCGATCCAGGGTCCTGTGTGGGGTCGGGGTGGAGGACAAAGATTGCACCGGACATCCACTAAAAAGTGGCGTTTCTCCGAAGTTCAGATTCAACTGGGCACCCTGTTTATTTTATTTTATTTTTTCTTTTGCTAAGTCTGGCAAGACTTCCTTGGTGCCAAACGAGGGAGTTTGGTTTGGGTCAGGCAGCAGCACAGTGAGGCGGTCCAGCTGGACCTCGGCAGCGGTCCGGACGCAGGGCGGTGGTGGGGTTGAGGGTTTCCTCCAAGGTGGGCAGAGAAATGAGCCCTGGTGAGAAATGTCGACCGACACGGTTGTCCCAGCAGATTGAGCAGCAGATTGAAGAGACGCAGGCCTGACCTGGGCTGGGAGGATGGCTCTGGCTTGGGGTAGACGGGCGGATGGAGCCACTGAGAATGAAGGCTGGAACCCAGGCTGGGGGTGGTTTGGGCAGGAGGAGGAGGCAGTGAGGTGCTGGCCTGGGGGTCATCAGCCATGGAGAAGAGGGGACAGACGCAAAAGAACCGAAGCAGCTTTAGAACCGATCTGTGGAACGAATAGTGGCTTCTAAGACCTAAGTGTCGGTGAGGATTCAGAGGGTCCTGGCAGTGCTCACGGCGAGTGAGCGGGGCGTGGTTGCAGGAGACAGTTCACGGCTGCTGGCGGCTGGGGCACAGCTTCACCTGGAGGGTGTGGGACTTGACCGAGGAGAGTGAAGGTGGTGAGAGATGGGGCATTGGGGTCAGGAGGACAGGAGTGACCCCGGACGGCAGCAGTGGGCGCCCCTGGAATGCCCCCTGCTGATGGCTTCTGCAGATGGTGCCTCCACGGCTCACCCTGAGCTGAGGCTCATTCCTGCGGAATTTACCTTGGTTACTCATTTCCACAGAAAGAATCTTTAACTCAGCCTCACCTTGGACGTTGGAACTTTCTGAAGGCTGATGATGAGGCAGCTTGTTTGATTAACCCCGCTGGGGCCAGGGGCAGGGTCATGTCCCTGGGGAAGGAATGTGCCTGCCTATTCCTGTCGCAGGCTCCCCTCCAGCCACAGCCCCACACCAGGCTCAGGCGGACCTTGAGCCTGAGCCCCAGGTGACAGTGGTGTCCACGTCACTGTTTCCACACTCGCCTGATCCCGGGACCACTGGATCCGATCTGTGACCTGCCGAGACAGGATCCACGGGAATCTGTATTCTCGCAGGGACTCTGGGTGGTTCTGGTGACTGGGTGAGCTTGGCGAATGTTTCCTGCTATTTTACAGACACCAGGCCCTGGCCCTGGTGAACCTCAGCAGGAGAGGTGACAGGGCCTGGGAGCCCCATCTAGTGCTCCCCGTTTTGCACAGCCCCAGGCTTTCCCAGGCGTGCACATATGTGCCAGGGGCAGTGGTCAGGTGTGAGTTTGGGAATGTAGGGGGCATGGCAGGTTTACAAGCCTTGCAGGTGGCTCCAGACGTGGCTCCTCAATGGAGGCTGGGGGCAGATTTTCCTCAGCGGGACACGGTGTTAGCAGGGAAGGCCAGGCACCCCTTCATCCTGCTCTGTGGGTGCTCTGGCTTCTGCACAGTCTGGGGGCAGGACGGACCCAGGACACTTCAGTTAGGGGAGCAGGGACCTCTGACAGATGCTGATTGCAAAGATTAGAATGAAAGGCAGAACACAGAGCCTGTGGTTTTAGTGACATCTAGTGTACACAGAACATCACATTGGGTGATGTGGGTGGAGGCTACAAAGAGACAGTTGGGCACTTGGAGACACAGCCCCTGGGCACAGCCAGATAACACCCAGCGGCATCTGTCCCCTTGTGTGCTAATGGCAAAGGGCAGGCAGGGGAAGCTCCTGGGAGAAGGTGTGCTTCCTGATGGATTTCAAAGGGCATGAACTTCGGGACTGGCAGAAAGAATGGGGGAGATGAGAGCGTCTGCCCCCCAGAGCTGAACTGCTTTCAGGAGCAGACAGCGGGGTCTGGGTGTAGGACAGATAATAGGACAGGCACGTTGTCAGTTTCTGCAAGTCAGGTGGTGACACCGAGTTTCGCCTACATTTTATTTTAAAAAATGCCCATGACAAGGACTTAAGAGGTCGGTCGGATGGAACCCCAGGCTGACTGAGTGCAGAGCCCAGGGTGCTTGACCTCTGGGGCCGAGGCAAGGATGTGACTCAAACTGGCAACTCCAGAGATTTGAGGGTGATTCATAATAAAAACTCCATTTGAAAAGCTAAATGGTTTATTATTTACCCAAACCGTTTTCACGTGATTTCTCCCCTCTGCGTTCACAGTAGCTTTGTGAGGAAGACAGGACAGGCGCAATACGCGTTTCAGACTGGGAAACCGAGGTCCGAAGTCGCAAAGTGACTACCCTGCCGACACACCCCATGGGGCATCCGTCAGGGTGGGGGCACGAATCCACAGTGAGCAGGGCGGTGCAGGGAGCAGGGAAGGAAAGGAAGAGTGTGTCCCGTGCACAGGGCTGTCGGAACGGGGACGAGTGAGGCTGGCCGTGCCCCTCCAGGCCGTCTGGTCTCCCTGGAGCGTCACCTTCTCCTTGTCCTCTGAGCAATAACGAGGAGGTGGCAAAGCTTCCACGATCAGGCCTGCCACCGTGCCAAGGCGGGTGGGCATCGCCCACGCTTGCGCCAGGCCCGCGGGGCGTCCCTTAAACCCAAACGAAACAAAGCCTTCCCCGGGCAGACCTCCCCTGCCTGTCCCCGGCCTCCCTGCCCGTCAGTCTCCCCCTCCCTGGCTCTTGGCAGGTGGTCCCTCTGAGTCTCCCCGGCCCTCGGTCCCACCTGCACGCTGCGTGCCGTGGGCGCACATGCTGCCCCCGAGAAGCCCGCCTCCTCGCTTCTGCATCTTTGCTCAGTTTTTCTCACGTTGTAACTCACAGCTCCAGCAGTCACGACAGGATTTGCCTGATTATTGGCAGACTTTACACAACGAACTCTGTAATTCATAGGTACTTAATTAAAGGCTTTTGACCAATTCTGGAAAATGTTCTATTTATTTTGCTACATTCCTGGTTTCGGAAAATTACTTTTCTGTATTCTTTTTAGAACATGTATGTATTTGCCACATTGTCTTCTGAAGGCAACAGTCTCTTCGGTGTACACATAGTGAGCGTCGAAGCTGTGATATTGACTGAGACTTGCCAGAAATCTTAAACGTGTCTCGTGAAAGTACGGTTGAGAGACAGTGACGTGCCACCCCAACGGGTCACGCATCCGCTTTGCTGGAGGAGAGGGCGGGAGGCGCGGCTCGGCTCACAAACGTCTCGCGTTTGCGGCCCCTGCAGTTCGACCTGGTGTGTGAGAACTCCTGGAGAGTGGACCTCTTCCAGTCGTGCGTGAACGCCGGCTTCTTCATCAGCTTCCTGGGGGTCGGCTACGTCGCGGACAGGTACGTGCAGGCCCATGCCATGACGCATGGCGCCGATGCTCGGTGGGGGGACGGGGGGATGCATTTGGGGCACGGGGGTGGAAGAATGCGGTCAGCTCTTGGCAGGTGGTCTCTCTGTTGCAGAAGTTGATGGAGTTGGGACAGGATGGGAGCCAGTGCTTTGGACTCCTGTGGGGAGCAAGGCGGACGCAGGTGGAGGCTTGGGGTGGATTTCAGAGGATGACGCTGCACGCGGGTTGCATGGTTAGGATCGGCCCTGAGAGAAAATGGGGACAAAGCCGAGGTTTGTGCTTCGAGCAGGCGGGTGGGGGTGGGGCCCTCTTTTGAGATGGGTCAGGATGGGTTAGGAACAGAATTGGTTGCGGCTCTGAGCGGGGGAGCGGGGAAGCCATCGAGAGTTCTGTCTTAGAAGCTTTAAGATTGCAGATGTGTTCAGAGTAGCCTGCGGGACATAGAGTAGAGTGAAACAGGCAGTTGGATAGATAAGCTGCTCTCAGAAGAGAGGTTTTGGCCCGAGTTATAGGTCTGGGATAAGTCACCAGTGATTGGTATTTGAAGCTCTACATCATATTTGAGATAAGCGAGAAGAAAGTATAGAGAGAAAGTTTGCAGAGGTTGGTAGGGAAGGAGGTTTGGAAGAAATGGCAGCAAGATAGAAGGACAGTTGCCTCCTGGGGGAGCGTGAGGCTGCAGAAAGCAGGAGAGGAGACTGGCCCGAGGAGGAGCAGTGGTCAGAATCAGGGGACACGGTGGCCGTGAGCGCCCACGACGCGAGCGGTGTCAGTGGGAGGGAGGCCGAAGGAACACGAGGGGTGAGAACGTGGAGTGCACACGTGTGGACAGCTCTGAAGGATGGCTGGACATGGCGATGTCCCCGGGAGGCGAAGGGACCGCGGGGCACAGGCAGGGGGCTGGGCCCGAGGGCAGTGGGTGTGGCGGCTTCCATCAGAGATACAGAACGAGGGATGGAGGAGACGGATGCCCGTGCTGTTGGGGCCGGGTATTCCGGGGCGAGGAGATGTGGGCTTCCCACGAGAAGTTCCTGCATTTAGTAAAGGGCGAGGACGTCTAGGGGCCGGTGTGGGTGGCACGGGGAAGAGGCGGGACGTTGGAGGCGAGGAGGTATGGCGCGGACGAATGAAGCGTTAGGTTGGAGTCTCGAAAGGATTATGGCAGAGAAAAGCAGAGGACCCGGGCCAAGGCAGAGCGCCTAGGCGCGGGCGAGGTCATCGCGGCGGCACGTGAGCTGGTCCCTCGCTTCCTTCCTTCCTACGGAGACCGTGGGATGAGTTACAAAAGATTGATCAATAAAGCATGATGCGCGGATGAAGTTTAGCAAATTATTTGCCCATTTCATTCTTGAAAAAATGGAAGAAAGTTCTTAGGAGTTATGTCATTAGAACGGAATATTTTCCCAGAAAACCTTTTATGACCATTGATGAGACTAACTATATGAAAAGCCTGGTTTCTGGGCCATGCTGTTACATCTCGTTAATAATAGGACAGTCTGGTACATACAAAGGTCCCGTGAGGAGATGAGCTGGGAGGGTCCCCGAGGGGAGCCACCGTCCTCGGCTGACGTGTCGCATTGCCAAGAGCAACCAGGGTTCCTCTTTAGGGTGATTTAATTAACCTCAAAAAGCTGCTGTTCGCTGAGGACGGACGAGGCTGGGACTTCATGTGGGACGGGGGTATCGGATAGACCCCGGTCCCTCGGGAACGCGGTGACGTGCACGTGCCCACCTGACCTCGAATATTCAACACCCCTGCCTCCCCTCCCCATCCCCTTGCCTCTGAAGGTTCGGCCGTAAGTTATGTCTCTTGGCCACAACTCTCATCAGCATCGTCTTCGGCATCCTCATGGCCATCGTGCCGGACTACACATCCCTGCTGCTCTTCCGCCTGCTGCAGGGGCTGGTCAGCAAGGGCAGCTGGGCAGCTGGTCTTACCATGAGTAAGCATCGCCGCCTGGGGGCCCGTGGGTTTTAAGGAGCCACAGAGTCAGGTGGGGGGAAGAATGGGATGGATCCACACGTGTAGCCAGTGTCACCTCTGCAGGAGGGCCCTGCCCAGCGCCCCGAACTCACTCCCAGTCACCTTCCCTCAGCCACACGGTCATCTCCTCACGGTCCTCTCTGTCTGGGGCCTGCCACCCTGGTGACGTGCGCCTGGCTCCCTCACCTCCCCGAGGCCTTTTCCAGATCCCATCCCCGGGGCCCTCCCCACCGCTCTCTGAAAATCCGCAGCCCCTCCACCCCGACTCTCCCGAGTCCGCCGCCACCACTGAACTACTCGTGCCCCTGTCACATGTATCGGATTCTGACCAGGCATCTAATGTCTTCACTTGTCGTTTGTATTGTCTGTCATCGCTCATGAGAGTGCGAGACACGAGAGCAGAACTCTGCCCACTGAGTTCATGATGCGTCCCTGTCACCCAGAGCAGCCAGGTCCCTGGTAGGCGCTCCAAGATATTTGTTAGATTAATGAACACTCCTGCGGTCATGAAGAACATTCTAGCTTGGTCTGGAGCTTACAGGAGGAAGACTTGGCTAGGGAGAGCCACAGAGACTTAGAATGAGAACTCCAGATGGCCAATGAGGGGACGAGAAAAGGGACAGCTAGAGAAAAGCGGGGAGCCTGAGCCGAGTGGTATCAGCAGCACGTGGGGAGGAAGGTGGGACTTGAGCCTGGTCATCATTTGGGAACAGGAGAAATGGAGGACCCACGGGGAGCAGGCGGTGGGGGCTGGGCTGGGCTCACGAGGAGGAGAGGAAAGGCTGGGGGTGCCCTTCGAGGAGCCCGGACAGTGACGTGTCTCCTGTTTCAGTCACAGAGTTCGTGGGCCTGGGCTACCGAAGAACGGTGGTGATCCTGTACCAGACGGCCTTCTCGGTGGGGCTGGTGCTGCTCTGCGGGGTGGCCTACGCCCTCCCCCACTGGCGGAGGCTGCAGCTGGCCATGTCCCTACCCACCCTCCTCCTCCTGCTCTGCTTCTGGTACCACCCTTCCAGTCCCGGAACCACGCCCAGTTAGACTGCACGCTGACCCCGCGGGCCCACGGGCCGTCCTCCCGGCGGCCAGCGTGTACCGCCACACATGCCACGCGGGGTGTCCCAATATTACAGCCTGGCCCTCAGTACGCAAGGACCTACCCTCACATGGAGCCCCCCACATACAGACAGGCGATGCCGCAAGGCGGACAAAAGTCCACCTGGCCACCTGGCGGCCATTTGAATGAATGAATGAATGAATGGTTGAATGAATGAAACATTCTCCGGGGAGTGTGCACATTCGGCCCTTATGAATCAGAACCAGCTCACATGAGTGCTGTTAATTTGATCAGCCGTGAGTGCCTGGCAGCGTCTGAGGAATAAGCAAGTAGGGAGATGAGTTTTCACTGCGGGAGAGGGAATCGCGGGCCGCAGAGAGGGAGGTGGAGAGAAATATCTCATCAGTGTGTACCATTTGTCACCGTTTTGCTGGAGACGAGTCTTATCTGTGGGTGGCACTGAGTAGACCCGAGCTCCGCGGGTCTAAGTGTTGCACATTTACGTTCAGGAAGAGCCCGCCTTCTCCTTGTCAGTGAGAAACGAGGGGCTGTCCAGTGGGCAAGGACCCCCTGGCGGAGTCTGGACAGTCGATCAGGGCGGGGCTGTGGCTGAGCGTTTTCAGAAGCCGTTAGGCCAGACATTCCCGAAACTTGAGCTGTAACATCTTCGCCCTGTTTGAAATATACAGCATGGGGTCCATTTGGTGCTAAAGGAAAGTGCATACAGTTTTTTTTTGGAGAGCTTTTGAGACTTCGCCAACAGCCCTTGAATACATGGAGACATCCTGCCGTAACGCAGGGGTGGAGCATCCATTATGTGTGAGGAATTTCCCAGGGGGACAGGCTGCCAGCTTCCAAGAGAGAAAGGGACCCCTGCCCCATGGAATAAAGCCTGCGGAGGGCAAATGCCTGTTTGGCCTATAAACCTGAGCAGGTGGCACTGAGCGTACCAGGCCCTGTGTGGGCCTCTCGGGCCAGCACACGCTGACTCCAGATCCTTGTCCACCAGCTGCTTTAGCTGCTTGAAAAATTCCTGGCGTATTGTGAGGAGAGTGAGCTGCTCCCCGCAACGGCCTCACTCTGCTCAGGGCTGGACATCGGATGAGCTGTGGGAAAATGCCACCTGCTGGTGATTTGTGTCCACAGGTACGTGCCTGAGTCTCCCCGCTGGCTGTTATCACAAAAGAAGAACACTCAGGCAGTAAAGATATTGGACCGTATCGCCCAAAAGAATGGCAAACCAACTCCTGCTGACCTAAAGGTGACGAGCGAGCAAGGGGGTTCTCAGGTTGCTAAGTTGTGTGTGTTTGATGACTTAGAAGTCACCCCTGGGACTGTCTCGGGAGGCGGGAGGGCAGGGTGGAGTTCGGGGTAATGGACGCAGAGTGTAGCCACAGCGATGGGGACCTCGAGGGGACCCTGAGGGCTTTTCCTCCTCACGGCAGTGTGGACACCATGATGCTCTGACTCCCTTCTAGATGCTCTCCCTCAAAGAGGACGCCACCGAAAAGCTGAGCCCTTCGTTTGCTGACCTGTTCCGCACGCCACAGCTGAGAAAGCACACCTTCATCCTGATGTACCTGTGGTAGGGGCCTTCCCTCCCCTCCCCTTCCTCCCGATGGAATCAGCATGCTGCCCACGCACGTGCGCACACACACGGGCACACACACACGGGCACACGGCAAAGGGAGGGACCGGCGGGGGGCGGGGGAGCACGAGAAAGGTTTTAAGGTGGTTTTCAAGTGGTTAAAGAGCTCTTAGAAAGTCGCCCTCGTTTCTCCCTTGAGGACTGAAAAGGGCAGAAAGGCCTCATTTTAGTAAGAGGGTCTGACATGCGGGAGGTCAGCAGTGGCCCAGGTGAGCTATGTCGGAGCGTTGCCCCTAACCCCACGTGGCCGGTCTTCTGGGCACAGCCAGGTGCTGACCAGCACCATGAGATTCAGTGGCTCCTGGCTCTTTTGAGCAGAGTATCCCTCCCTGTTTTAGAGCTTTGGAGACCCCTCGCGAGAGTGTCTACACTTTTGTCACCCACGGGTTAGGATACTCACGCACACGCACGGCTTCACCCATGCGCCCCTGGGAGCCCCCGCCGCTGCCGCCTCAGCGGATGCTGGGTCAGGGTGCCAACGTCAGGGCTTTCTCCTCAGCGTGAGGGTGGTTCTGGTTATCCGCCCGCCCAACACCTGGCCTCAGCAGCTGGACTCCGCGCCCCCAGGCACCCCATCAGCCGCTCTGGGCTGGCACACTTGTTTGCACGTCCATGTAAGGCTTCACTGGAAGTCAGGGTCTGAACTAACGGGGCGGTTCCCGGCACACTGTAGACCCCCCCAAAATACTTGCTGAAGGGTGAAGTATGAATAAGCACCGCTCCGTCCCAGGTTCTGTAGACGCAGGCTCGCTGTGCCCTGTCTCTGCCCACCAAGCACCGGCCGCGTCTCCGTGCTGCCCAGAGCCCTGCGTCCAGCCACAGGGTGGACGGGTCGGCGGGGAGCCTCGGCAAACACGCGGCTGCCTGGGATGCTCGGTGTTCCGGGCAGCAGCGTCCCTTCCCTTCCGGGCGACGCCCCCCCACCCCCCACTCCTAGCGGCTCCGCCCCCCGTCTGCCCCCTAACGCAGGTTTTTGACTGTTTCCTTGCGCCCCTCCACCCGCTCCTTTGGCGAATTTTGCTCGTTCTTGAAAACGTGTCCGGAGTCAGTCACTTCTCATCACCTGCGCCCCTAGTTCCCTGCTAAAGGATCGTCAGGTCTTGCCCGTGTTCCTGGAGACGCGCAAACGCCCCCCGCCACTGGCTGTTGTTTTAACGTGTACACGCAGTTCATGGGTTCTGCCAGAAGGTGGCAGCCCTGCACATTCGGTAATGGGCTTGCTTTGTTTCGGACAGGAAAATCTAGGTCGTGCATTCCTTTCTCCCAAATCAATCTCTGAGTTTGCAGGAAGCTCCTTCCTTCTTGTTCTCTTGACACTTCTGTCTAGTTGGGAGGAATTTGGGACCAGAAACGAAAGGGTCCCAATGCTTCTCTGGGAGCAGCTTTATAAAACCAGGGGGTTTATTAATGAGAAACATCGGCTGAGAGAGAGAGCTCGGTTTTGGAGCTGATAGGCAATTTACATGCTGGGAGAAGACAGTAATTTCTTATCAACCAAAGTTTCTTCTCCCAGTGCAAGTACCAATATAATCATAAAATGTTTCCAGCCCCTCAAATTCTACGATCTTTCTAAAAGTGTCCCACGGGAGTCTCTAAATTTCCTCTTGAGCGAGCGCAACTTTGAGACTGGTCCCATCGGTCTGTGTGCCATATTCCAAAACGTGGCTGTTCTTTCCTGGGACGCAGAGGGAGGGTCGTGCAGCCGGGCGTGGGGTGGAAGAGAGTCAGTGAACAGCAGCGGGAAGACGCAGTATGGAGTGATGGAGGGCGCAGCACTGGATGGGGGGACGCTGGGCCGGTGTCTCTGCTTGCTTTTGTTCTGGATACTTGATCTTGGAAAGATGGCAGTGACGACCATGAAAGCTCATCTTTACCGAGTGCTTACTATGTGCTAGGAACTATACTGAGGACGTTTTATCCACTCACGTCGTGAATACTCAAGACAAACCAATGTGGTAGGTGCTATGATCTTCTCATTTACCAATGAGGGACTCGAGGCACAGAGAGGTGGGTTAATTTACTAGAAGTCACACAGCTCCCGCAGCTGTCTGATTCCTGAACCCGCTTGCTCACCGCTGTCTTCCGCTCGCCCCCACCAGGGGCCTGTGGGAGCATTAGATGGGGTGCGGGGTGTGCAGTGCTCAGTGCAGGCCCCGGCACCTCGCCGCACAGCAAGCCGTAGCAGTGATCATTTGAGATCTCTGGGAAGCGTGGGTACATTCCGTGAGTCACACTCTCACATGAATCACGACAGGAGAGGCTTTTCTAGGACACCTTTTCTGGTCTTTGTCCCCCTCTTCTCATATGGCGTTAGGACCGTCTAAATCAAGTGGCACGTGTGTCTCTCCAACTCACAGGCCCTTCACGCTCCCAGCCTGGACTGCGCCTCCCGCCCCCTGCCCAGGGCTGGCCTCTGACTCGGCTTCTCTCGGCTCAGGTTCACCAGCTCTGTGCTCTACCAAGGCCTCATCATGCACCTGGGCGCCACGGGCGGGGACCTCTACCTGGATTTCTTATTCTCCGCTCTCATGGAATTTCCGGCGGCCTTTGTCATCCTCGTCACCGTTGACCGTGTCGGCCGCCTGTACCCGATGGCTGCGTCGAACCTGGTGGCGGGGGCGGCCTGCTTAGCCATGATCTTCATTCCCCACGGTGAGTTGTCCCTTTTCATCCTCTTCCGGGAAACTGGCTTGTGGGAACGGCGTTTTTGCCGTTTGATAAACTCCCAGAACAAGAACAGAGACAAAGACCGTGACCTTAACCCACAGCCATCATTTTCCAGTTTGAAGTTGAGGTATAAGGTACACACGATGAGCAGGTTACAAGGGTACAAACCAGGGAACGTTTACGTGCGTGCTGTGTATAGCTGGGTACCATGACCTAGATGAAGGCGCAGAGTTTCGGACCCCTTGGAAGACGCCTTCCTGCTCCTTTGCAGTCGATAGTCACCACCCAGCCAGTATCACCCCCACCCCGACCTCCGCCGCCACAGATTCGTTTTGACTTTTCTTAAACTCCACGTGAAGGGAACCACACCGGATGTGCTCTGTGAGTTGCCTCGCTGCCTTCACTCAGCCTCACGTCCGTAAGATTCACCCGGGTCGTCACACGAGGGCGTAGCATGCCCGAATACCACACTCTGTCCCTTCCCCTGTGGAGTGACGCTTCGTGGTTCCCCGTGTCTGTCTATGGGGATTAAAGCCGCAGCGAACATTCCAGCCGATGCCATTTCTCTTGGTGCGTGTCCGTGAGTGTGCCGGGCTGAGGGGCGGTGTGAGGTTAGCTTTAAGGCGACGCAGCAAGACAGCTTTCCGAAGTGTTCACATCCTCCCCCCACGGGCTCTGGCTGGTCTTCCTCACCCAGCCATTGCGGTGGATGTGTGCTTTAGTCCATGATTCTTACACTCCAAGAAGAGCCGAGACAGATTCATTTCAGTCAGTTTTATTTTGAGTACATAAGTTGGCTCTCTCATTTTTGTTACTTTTGAAAACGTTAAACAAATACCAAGGCGGATTTGCTATTTTCCCAGTCGTGATAGCTCGTGTTCTGCCCTGGTGGGTTTACTGAGTCATGTTGACAGGCTTTTGGGCAGGGTACCGTGGGAGACGTCCCATGAAATCTGTGCAGATGCTTCTCGATGGGGTCACATCCTGATAAACCCATCGTAAGTTGCAGATAACATAAGTCGAAAATACATTTAATACACCTAACCTGCCGGACATCATGGCTTAGCCTAGTTCACCTTGAACGCGCACAGGACACATTACCCCCCAAAACGCTGGCAACGCAGTGGGCTGCAGAGTATCGGCGTTCACGGCCGTGATGGAGTGGCTGATTGGGAGTGCAGCTGGCTGCCTCCATCCAGCATCGTGAGAGAGCATCGCCCTGCGCATCGCTAGCCTGGGGGAAAGATGCTCAAAGCGTGGCTTCTACTGGACGTGTGTTGCTGTCACACCATCATGAAGTTGAAAAATCGCAAGTTGAACCATCACGAATCGAGGACCGTCCATATTTTCAAGAACCGGGTCGTTCGGATCAGGCTGGAAGCAAAAAGAGGCAGAGAAAGAAGTGTCGGCACCCTCCCCGCCCCCCACCCCACGTGGGGAGGGGACTCCCAGGGGAGGGCGGGAAAAGGGCAGTGGCCCCAGAAACTGATTTAACCCATTTTTCTCTCCCTCGGCCCTGTTTCTGGAATCCTGGCAAGGCGCAATGAACGGGCAGGTTTTTGTTTGTTTGTTTTTTGTCGTATGTTATTTTATCCCATCCCCCCCATTATTAAGACAAGACAAAATCATAGAAACAACCTCCTACTTGTAATTCTAGGTAGCATATGATAAAAAGTATTTGCATACTTTTAATCAAGTAGAATCAATGTGAATCTTTTAATTATCCATCTTTAAATTGAAAAAAAAACTATACTTAACTTCAGCTGTTGGAAAATATTATTTGACAACTTCAGGTGACATAATAACTTTTTTTTTTAATAAGGTGAAAAGGAATCAAGTACTAAGGCAGGTGTTTTTTAAATAACAGCACTGAGTGCCGACAAGGAGCCTGAGGTCTGAGACTTCAATTGTCAGTTGGTCAGAGCTCAGGGCCCTCCCCCCAGCTCCCGCCCTCTCCACTTACCTCCTCTCAGTCCTTGTCACATCAGGTGATAAGCATTCATTCCCCCTTCCTGGAAATATTTCGAGCAACTTCCATGTGGCCAGGAGGCATCAGGGCCCTAGGATGTCAGAGTGAGCCTGGGAGAAAGTTCCTGCTTCACAGAGCTTACACTCTAGAGGGAAAGTGAGCAGGGGGAGGAGGGGTGGGGAGTGGATTCTTTGTGCAGAGGTCAGGGGCGGCCTTAGGAGACCTGCATGAAGCGGGAGGAGCCCTGTGAACATTTGCGAGGACCCAGAGGAGAGAGAGCTGTAGGAATCCCGTGACTAGATGTGGGTGAGCAGAGGTGAGATGGTAGCAGTGAGTAGGGGACAGCCTGCCCTCGGTTTCATCGCTGGTGGCTTTGCGTAGGGAACCGAGGTGACCTGACCGCAGTTCTAAATGTCCCTCCGGCTGCTGTAGAGAGTGGCCCGAAGCTGTTCATGTACCATGGAGCATCTCGCCAAATCTAAGACCCCAGCACTGTGAGCGAGGCCCTCTCTCTAGGTCTTTTGTCCTTACCTTTTGGAGGCTGGAGGTGTGGCGTGTAGTCCTTAAGTTGCTCCCAGCAGGTAGAGAGTGGCAGGCGGCTGAGAGACACTGTGATGGACTCAGCAGGCAAACTTCTTCTTAGGTCACTGTGTCCTCTCTCCTTACAGCCTCACACTGGCTGAGTGACATGACGCATATCCTCCATGAGTAACTGGTGTTTGGGGACAAGGATGAAGACGATGTAATATCGATGACCTCAGGGACTTAGTGAGTGAGCTGGCGTGTCACAGGAGCCACTGGCATTTTAGTGTTTAGGGTGATCCAGGTGAAGTGGATGGCATGCCCGATTCTTTGATCGGTCCCCAGTAAGGAGGTGGCAGCTTTCTGGACCTGTCATTAGGGCCCCATGGCAGTGGGCTAGGATGAGACAGGTTTTGCCTCCCTAATACGCACGATCTGAGACTATTACAAAAGATGTTTCAGCTAGAAAATGTGTTTTGGAGTGAGCACTAGCTCGAGGGTTAGAAATCTGATCCATCAGTGCCTACTGCCTAAGGGAACCATGTTTATTGAGGATCTACTATGTTTCTGGCTTCGCGCTAGCATGCACTCTGCTGCATAATAATTAGAAAGCCAGCTCTCATGGTGTGCTCATGTGGACGCTGGACATTATTACCTTTAAGTCTCACGGCAACCTATAAGCTGGGTATATGTATTCCCATTTTATGGCTGAGGAAACTGAGGCTTAAAGAAGCCAGCAGCCTGCCCAAGTCACGCAGCTGACTTCAGCAGAGCTGAGATTCAAAAAGCACGTTTTCCACCCCCGCACAACGGGGCCTCCCCTCACGTGTCATTATCAAGACCTGAAATCTCTCAGGACTCAGTGTTCTTATCCAGAAATGAAGGGTTAGGTAAGACAAACTTGCCAGCCCTTCTAGCTCTGAGTCCTGACTTCCTAATGTGGCTCCTTGTGGGAGGTGACTCCGCGGGCATGGTCCTCACTCGTGTTCCCTGCCCTCTGTGTCTGCTCTCCAGATCTGTACTGGTTAAGCACCGCAGTAGCTTGCCTTGGCCGAATGGGGATCACCATCGCGTTCCAGATGGTGTGCCTGGTGAATACTGAGCTCTACCCTACATTTATCAGGTGAGTGCCCAATGGTGGTGTGGGCGGTGGCCCCTGAAAGAGCCGTGAGCCAGCCAGGCCAGTGAGGACCAGCATTTGCAAGACAGCTCCTCAAGGCGCCTCCCAAGGCTGATCGGTTTGGATATTGCGATGGGGGTTTGGGGTTCAAAGAGAAGATCAACAGCTCGTTACAGAGAGAATGTGAAATGATTGGGTTAGGGGCACAGAGGAGAGAGCCCTGGGCAGGAGCTCATTGTGTAAACCTCAGCACCACTTAGATGTGTAAGCTCAGCAGCTCCACTGACACCTCTGGGTGTAACTCGCTTCAACAGCCGTTCGTGTTTGTGCAGTGATGCGAGGCGTTTCCAGACCCGTGATGCAGGCCTGCCCTTAAGATCATTGTTGTCCTCATTTTACACATGAGGAAGCTGAGGTTCAGAAAGGAAAAGAGACCTTCCCAGGGTCGCACAGCTAGAGTGGCCTTGAAGCCAGTGCCTTCCCTGAGACACAGCGGTACTTCTCCGTCACCTGACCAACAGGCCCAGAAGACTCATGGTGTAAAGTCAGGTTTATTGAGGTAGAATTTTCTTGGAGCAAATTCAGTCTACAATGCACCGTTGGATGAGTTTTGGTCATATATATTCGTTTAGCCAGCACCACAATCAGCATAGAGAAGTCCATCCCCTCCACACGCCTCCTCAGACCCCTTTGCAGCCAGCCTCCCCCAGTGCCCACCTCTGGCACCTGTCGATACTCATCTGATTGCTCGCTCAATGGTTTTACCTTTTCCAAACTGCTCCGTCAGTGAAATGATATGGCACGTGGCCTTTTACGTTTGGCCTCTCACATAGCACCACGGGACCCAGCCATGCTGTCGCGTGTATCGGTGCTTGGTTCCTTCTTGTTGTCAAGTGGAACCCCAGTGTGGGGTGACCTATCATGCTTTGTTTATTCATTTACCAGTTCGTGGACATCTGGGCTGTTTCCGCTTTGGCTATGATTACAATACAGCTGCTAATAAACATTCATGCACGGGTCTTTGAGCGGATGTACATTTTCATTTCTCTTGGTTAAAAATTTAGGGGTGTGTATTTAAATTTACGCGAAACTGTCAAAATCTTTTCCTAAGTGGCTGCACCATTTTGTGTGGTATCAGCCACGTGTCGGAGATCCAGCTGCTCTACGTCCTCATTGGCTCTTGGTATTGTCGTGTTTTTTTTTTTATTTTAAATTTTAGGTCATTCTTGGAGGTGGTGGTATTATTATGACTTTAATTTACATTTTCCTAACTACTAATAATATTGAGTGCCTTTGCACGAACTTATTGCCATCTGTATTTAGAAAACTTAGTTTAAATAAAGATTATTTAACTACTTTATTTAAACTTAATTCCGACCTTTGATAGAATTTAGCATATTTCCTTAAACTCGTCTTTTCCTCTAAGAAGTCTTCTAGTTCTCTAGTCTCCTCCTCCCGCTCAGCGATCCGAGCCCCTCGCTGAGCCAAAAACACAAAGATGGAGCCGCTCCATTCTTGTGTCTTTTCTGTCCATCCTTCTGTTAAAAGGCCTTGTCTTATACCCTCATTTGAAAAAGGTTGCTTGGACCGAGTACAAAGAAATGAAGGCAACTTAACAAGAAAAGCCTCTACATTTGGCAGTTCTGAGCTCAGAGTCTAAAATAGCCGGGCCAGACAACCCCATTGTCATGGCCACGAGACTCAGGGACGGACACAATGCGAAGTGTCAGAGGTGCCGAGTGACTGGTCCTGTGGGGAAGAAGACCGAGTAACTTGTCTTCGAGGAGCCTGGGACCCTTTGTGCAGAGCCTGCTGCGTGAAGATTCTCAAGAATAGAAGGGAAACCAGATGTTCAGAAACAACTTCAAATGTGACCCCCGCACACCACGTCAGGCAGTCATGAAAGTTCTGGTATTTTCCACCAATGGAATCAACTCTAAATTGTTAAAAAAAGGATTGTCTCTGCTATTTTATTACTTGGAAGCACTTGAAGTTGAAACAGGCGCTTCTTAAACCGTTTTGACCCTGCTTCCCAATCGCAGGGAGCTTTGGAGCTGAACAGCTGGCTTTCTGTGTGCACTACATATTGCCAAGGACATTCATTTGGCATCGATATGCGCTGCCTTGTATTGAAAATTGTCTTTTTCTTTTTACCTCCTCACTATGTTATGAGCACCTCAAAAACAGGAACTATGTATTATTTTAAAGCTGTACTAACTAGTCGCTAAGTGCTTCTAGATGGACTAAATGAAGGAAGTATCACAGATCTGTGAATTTCAAAGAAGAGACCTAGTTCTCTTCTTCTTGCTTCTGGGTATTTATCAAAAAAAATTTTGGTTAAGACTTATTTTCTTAAAAGAGTAGAAAGTAATGGTGTCTCTTCTTTCTCCTCTTGGAAGTCACACTAAAGCTGTTCGAAAAATGAGAAGAAAAATAAACCTTGCAAGTGTCATCTGTGGAACTAGGATGAGCCTGGAAGACAATATGTATGAGGAAGGGCTGCCTAATGCAGTGAGGGCTAAGAGGGTCCAGAAGCATCCAGGGAAGCACACCTGTGGTGGCAAATTTAGACAAAGCCAGCAGTTTTCCACAGTAGGAAACGTATAACGCACAGCCCCGTGTTTGGAGCAACGGGAGGGACGCAGCACTTAGAGATGTTTGCTTCCTTCCCCAGATGGTGTGTGGTTGGTGGGAAAGCAGGGAGGGCAAGACTGTGAGAAAACGTTCAGGAAATTTCCAGAGAGCACGGTGGAAGCTACCCTACATGAGGAGGGGTTCTGCACGGTCAACCCTGCAGATTGGAGATAAGAGAGGCCAAAGCATCTAATCACATACAACCCTGGTCAGAAAGAGAATTTCTACTAGTCTAGAACATGGCCTGGTCCCTCCTCACAAATCCTTCTGAAATCACTGATACAGGAAGAAATCACAGGATTAAAAGATGAATAATAAACAAAAAAGTTACTTGCCCAGGAACTATACAAATATAATATGAGAAAAAAGGGAGGAAGGAATAGGAAAAGCAAATTGAAAATTAAGAATACGCATCAAAAAATATTGTCAAAAAGCAGATGGAAAGGGTAAAATATTTTTAGGAATATTGTACTATAACTAAGTGCAAAATGTTAAGGAATCACTCACCTTTATAAAATACAAGTTTAAAACAGAGATAGTTCTTGGGAGAATATGTGGCAAGACAATAGAAGAAATTTTTTAAAATTAGAAGACTTCTTGACTTGATTCTAAAGCAAAACTTAAATATTTTCTGCATAGTGGAAGTGCAAATTTTTTTCAGAAAGGTTGAGAAGAAAAAAATGTACAAATGCACAGTAGGTAAATGTAAACTAAAATATTGCAAGAGCCACACTCTTATCAGACAAAATCGAATTATGGCAAAAATATATTTAACGAGAAAAGGAAGTCCCTAAATAATGTTAAGGAAGGAATCTACAATGGTCTCACTGGGGAATTTTATAAAACATTTAATTAATAAAAATCTCCAATGATATTAAATTGTTCTAGAACAGAAAAAAAGGAGAAAAATTTTTCGAAAATTTGTTTATAAAGCTATCATAATATTGGCTTTAAAGAACGCCAAAGATAAAGGGAACAAAGAAACTTACAGATAAATATTTTTAGGAATATTGATTATCCATCCAAAATAATATTAAACAGAATAGTGGAGCACATTAAAATAATATTACAACTCAGATGGTTACTCTGGAAATACAAAGATAGCTCAAGGTTAGAAAATCTAATACTATAATTCATGCTCATAAATTAAAAGAGAAAAATTGTGCTACTATCTTCACAGACAGAAAAAAAAACATTCAATAAAATTCGCATTTTCTTATTTTTAAAATCTCTCCAATTTGGTTAGATAATTTTACATATAATTCTCTCCATATACTTTTTTCAGATAAGAACTGTATCACTGAAAACTGATAAATAGAGTAAATTATGAATATATTTAAAGATACAGTGGCAAACACTAAGGGGGGGTATAACCAACCAAGATGAGGTCACGAGAGGAGGGATTGGGAAGGAAATGGAAATGCACTAATTTTATAATTACTCATTGTAGGAGTAAGAAATTATACAAGTGGATGTAGAGGAAGAAGCTTAAAAGTAAGACCTCAAAGGAGAACACTTTTCCTGATTTATCGTTCCCAATTAACCATGTTTTCAAAATAGAGTTCATGATTTTTTTATAGGATACCAAATTATCTGGCACCAAACAAGGTAAAACTTACAATATCTGGCACCCAATAAAAAATCATCCAGCAATGAAGAAAAAAAAAGAGAACCTATATTGAGGAGAAAAATAAATCAATCTAAGTGAACCCAGAAATGACACAGATGACAGAATTAGACAAAAACAGTTTTTTAGGTATAAAGCAGTTTTTATACCTATGACCTGTATGTTCAAAAACCTACAGAAAGATCAACTCTGTTAAGTAGAAACATAGAAGATATTTTCTTAAATCCCCAAACTTAACTTCTAGAGGTGAAAATTATAATATCTGAGATAAAAAATATACCAGATGAGTTAACGGCAATTAAATATTATGGAAGAAAGTGCTAATAAACTTGAAGACATCAATGGAAACTATTCAAAATGAAATTCCGAGAAAATCGTTGAGCTATGGGAAAACTCCAGCACATGTTATTGAAATCTACGGAGAAGAGTAGAAAGGGGAAATACGGAGACAGAAAAAAATATTTGAAAACTTAGTGACCAAAACTTTTTCAAATTTAATAGGTACTATAAATTCACAGACCTGAGAATATCAATAAATTCCAAAAACAGCGAAAAAATTGAGAAAAGCACATCATAAAAATCTTAAAAAGTAATCATAGAACAAAGACATCACAACGGGAACAAAAATAAGAACAGCAGTTTTCTCATTGGAAACAAGGCAAGTGAGAAATACCCCAAAATAAACAAATACATCTATGAAGTACTATACAACTTCTATAAAGTGCTAAAAAGGAAAAAACCAATCAACCTAGAGTTCTTGACCCGGCACAAATATCTTTCAAAAATGGATGGAAAATAAAGACTTTCCGAGACGTACAAAAGATGAAAGAATTCATCGCCAGCCACCCTGCACTACAAGACGTGTTAGTCTTTCAGAAAAAAGAAAAATGATATCAGATAGAAATCTGGGTCTACGCAAAAAAAAAAACCAAAAAATGAAAAGCGTTGGCAGTGGTAACTACATGGGTAAATAAAACTATGTATTTATTTACTTTTGGTTATTTACTTTAAAAGATAATAAACTGTTAAAAGAAGAGATTGGCAAGTGTTTCCTAATAAGCCAGATGATGATAATGTTTTAGGCTTTGTGGGCCATGTATGGTCTTTGTTCCATATTCTTTTTATTTTAAAACTCTTTACGTAAGAATCATTCTTAAGTCAAAGGCCATAATGATGCTAGATTTGGCTATAGTTTGCTGACCTCTGATTGAAAGCAGAAGTAACAACGTGTTGCAGGATTAAAAATCTATGTAGAAGTTAAGTCGTGCAACGCTAGGAGAGAAGTGTACGTGTTCTTGGAAGGCTCACAGACAGTCCTTGAAGTGGTCTAACATATCAGCGGAAGGTAGGCTGTGCTTAACGATGAGTACCGTGAACCCCACAGCAAAACTAAAAAAATAACAGGTTTGGCTGTTAAGCCAACAAAGGAGATCCAACAGCATCGTTTAAAATAATTCGTAAGAAGGCAGAAAAAGAGGAAAAGGGTAACAAGGGACAGAAGAAACAAAAAGAAGACAAATAACAAGATGACAGACTTCAATAACAAATAACAGACTTCAATCCCATCCCAGCAATAGTCCTAAGGAATTTAACTGCCCTAAACACTCCAGTTAAAAGGCAGAGATTGTCACATTGGACAAAAAGTGTGACCCAACTGTATTCTGTCTATGAGAAACTCACCTGCAGCGGTAGTTTAAAAGTAAAAGAATGAGAAAAGTTGTTGTAAATTGAGGTGGTGTAAGAATAAAAGAATGCAAAAAAATAATCACGCCAACACTAATCAAAAGGAATCCTGAGTGTCTGTATTTATATGAGACAGTAGATTTCAGAGCAAAGGCAATTACCAGGAATGAAGAGGGTCCTTCCAAGGAGTTCGCGTGTCCTCTCCAGCTTTCTCTGTCCTCCATTCCTCAATATCCTCTCTCTACTCTTCCCTACGTATCCATGTAAAAAAAAAATCTGCTCACACAATCAATTTTTCAACACTCCAAACACCAACTGGGTGTCCTATAATTTAATTCTGACATTAACTACCTGGGGTGAGTGCAGACCCTGCGGGCTAAGGGATCAGTCCCACACGACTGTCCCCACTTCGGACGCCAGTTGCAGGTCTTAGATTGTCCACCTATTCTTTTGACCAATTGGTTATAAATCAGGATTCCCATGGCCCCTCCTCAAGTTCAGTAATTTGCTGTAATGGCTCATAGAACTCAGGAAAAACTCGTACTTACATTTATTGATTTATTATAAAAGATATTATGAAAGATATAGATGAGCGGCTGGGTGAAGAGATACATGGGCGAAGTCTAGAAGAATCCTGAGCACAGGAGCTTGTTCCTGTGGAGTTGAGCCTCTGCATGTATAGATGTATTCGCCCGCCCAGAAGCTCTCTGAACCTCACAGTGCGCATGCTTGATTAAACCGTGGGCGGTTTGGTGATGAACTTGCTCTCCAGCCCACTCCCCTCCCTGGAGGTTGGCGGGGTGGGGCGTGGGGGTGTGGGCACTGTGTTTGCTCTAGGATAAGATTCGCACTGGGAATCACGGACATGTCATCTTTTTTGTTTGGATTCCACCAGGAACCTTGGGGTGATGGTGTGCTCCTCGATGTGTGATTTAAGTGGGATCGTCACCCCCTTCCTGGTCTTCAGGCTGATAGAGTTTTGGCAAGGCTTGCCCCTCATTTTGTTTGGTAAGACTCCACGGGACATTGATTATCCCTTCTTCCTGGCCCAGCACGAGTACTCGATAAGTACCTGATGAGTAAATGATAACCCCCGCCGAGTTTACAGCACGGCACCTGCTCCTCAGCTATGTCCTGGCTCACTGTCTTGCTCCATGGGAAGGGAAAGATCAGGTGTCATTCCTGGGCCAGAGGTTTATTTACATCCTATGGCTCTGGAGCCCAACGATGCATCCTATAGGACAGAATCCGAGATACCTTCCGACGTAGCCTCCTGCTTTCTTTCGAGATTGAGCCCCCACTCTTGTGCATTCACCGTGTAATTGCTGGAGGTTTCAAGATCTAAATGATCACCCCTCTCTGCTTCCCCGTCTTAACAACTGGGAACAGACACAAGCAGACAAATGGAATCGCAGTTTCGAGTCAGCTTTGCTGCTGTTAAGGATGGATTACGGAAGGAGCAGCGGACTTCCTGCCCTCCCCACACCTGGACCCGGGGGCCTCCGAGACCCCACGTGCCCGCTTAGTGGAAGGCACAATGGCTGGTCACGTGCCGAGAGCTCTCGCATGGGGACCAGGCAAATCCACGAGGGAGGGGGAGGAAGGGAGGGGGGAGACAGAAGGAGAGAGGAAGGAGAAGGGAAGGGGGAAGAGAGGGAAGAGGGAAGGAGGGAGACGGAATTGTGTAACGAGAGAGGCCACCATATTTTTAGCTACACTCTATATCACGCATATGGATAATAAAATAAAGTAACTAGTCAAAATAGCATTTCATATTGTCCTTGAGGTGCCCGAATCAACAAATCCCCTAATGTTTAGCATCGGCTACTACAGAACTTCATACTCACATGGAAGTGAGGTAAAGGCACCATTCCCCACCTTACTCTGGCATTTCCCCCGTCATTCCACTGCTTTAGTTTTCTAGATGTTCCTGACTTTTCTTTAAACAGTGTCTTTCACACAAGCATCATGTAGGCATCTCATTAGTGAGCTGTCACCATGCCCGTAAATGGTATTGGCTGTGCTCTCATGGCTCCTGTGAAATCTCTCTCCTTTGAAGTGGCGTTGAGTCTGGTGGCCGGGGGAGTGACGCTGCTTCTTCCGGAGACCAAGGGGGTGGCTTTGCCAGAGACCATCGAGGACGTGGAGAAGCTCCAGAGGTGAGGCCTGCGGTACCCAGGACTCTGGGCCAACGTTAGAACTATCCCCAATATCAGCAGCACTTTCCATTTCTTCTGTCCTAAGGGTGTAGAAGAACTTTACAGATATTTGCATGTCTTTTTTATTACTGCAGAGCTGATATATAGAGAAACATAACACAATTGACTTTCTAAGGAAGGAATGGAAAGCAGGGACGTGCATTTTTGGGTGACAGCTCACTGTTCTAAACTGCAGGGCAGAGGACGATTTGCCTGCGATGTTGGCTGAACACTGAGGCCCCTAGCTCGCCCAAGAGCTAATGTCTCTCAGCTGAGAACTATTTTTAAATCCATCTTCTGTCCTGTGAGCAATTGTTGGTTCAGGTTCCTTAGGGACTCTCATCACGAGGAAGAAAGGCTTAAAACTTTTGTTCTTGTGACAGGGACAAGCGCTTTAATGGACTTTCAGATTCTACTCTTAAGGCAATAAGAAAGGAAAGGAGAGAACGTGCTTGGTGTGGTGACCTCTCAGGCCCCTTCCCAGCTGGGTTCTGTGGATTCTGTGGAAAGGACGTATGTCCGTATGAAGTAGAGAGAATGTTCCGTGGCGCCAGGAATCCGAGGCGGCCATCCACTTGGCCATGTGGCTTTGGGAATGCCATTGAATCCTGTAGAAGTTTCACTCCCTTGCCTGAGGAATAAGCATGATGATATTTAATTTAGAAAGTCGCTGTAAAACTTTGATGAGATAAAGTAGGTGACGGTGACCGAGCCATTGCCTGGCACATAGTAGGAGTTCAAGAAATCGTAGATTCTCCCCATTCTTCTTGCATATTGTGTGATCTTCTCAATGGTTTTCAAACCTTCGTATGCAGAAGAATCATGAAGGGAGCTTATTAAAATGCAGATAACCTGGATCTCTTAGGTTTTTGACATAGCAAGTGAATGGTGGGACCCAGAAATCTGCTTTTAATAAGCTCTGCCAATGACGCCTGTTGAGGCACCCTATAAACCTCACTTTCAGAAATTCTGCCTTTCTCGGTACTGATAAGGGACAAACACCCTGTTTTAACTCTAATCACATTTTGTAGTTGCTGACGATAGGCTTCTTTTTGGTTCCAAGTGGTAGGAATATATAGCTAACACCGATTACGTGATTTTAAAATGTTTCATTATTTGTTACTAGGCAACCCTCTCATCTTTTAAGACATTTTGTTTGTACCTTCGCTCCATGCTCTTCGCCCTCGCTGCCCGGCCAGGGGAGGCCGGCGTTCCTCCTCCAAGCCACTCCTCTCCCTGCACGTCCCCAGGTCTCAACGTACTCTTCACATTTCACAATAACCGCTTATTTCATCATCTGCCTTCTCCACGTCACTGATTTCATAAATAGGAGCCACAGTCCATCAGCAGAGAGGTCGTTTCCTTCACCCCTTCTTCCCTGCTTCCCAGGGGAAAGCGTCAGGGGACGGGGGTCACAGTAGCCTTAGCTAAGGTTTCTGGAGCTGTGCGTTGACTTCACTGAAAACCTCGTGCATCCTTACTTGATCCCCTCAACACGCGATGAGGCGGCTACTATGCCACCCCATACCCATTCTACACATGAGGGACGTGGTGACAGGTACCCCAAGGTCCCAGGTTCGAAATGGCGTGTTGGCTCTAATGGGATGAAGTTAGGCAGCAACACAGTAGCTGCTGTACTTCCAGGGTCAGCAAACTCGTTCTGTTAAGGACCAGGTGGTAACTATTTCAGGCTTTGGGGCCACCGCTCAACTCGACAGCATGAAGGCAGCCATAGATGATACGTGAACGGGTAGGTGAGGCTAGGTTCCCGTAAAACTTTATTTATTGGAATTTCATCTAACTTTCAAGTGTCAAGAAACAACATTTTTGTTTCGATTTTTAAAAACCATTTAAAAATGTAAAAAACCACTCCTAGCTCACAGGCCACGCAAAAGCAGCTTGTCGGCCGGAGCTGGCCCGATGCCCTTTCCTCTTCGTTGCTTGTGGCCCTCGTTCTGCCTTTCGGTTTGGGACTTATGCCCATGCACAACTCTGAAACAGTTTCTTAATCAAGATGTTGATTGTGTGTTTATCGTACCTTTAATTTTTATTTCTGGTTCCTACAGGAAAGCAAAGCCCAAAGAAAACACGATTTACCTTCAGGTCCAGACATCCGAGCTGCAGGGTCTAGGGAGAGATATTTCTCTGGGGACCAAGGGGCAGAGATGACGCCGGGATTTTTCATGCTCCATAGCCCTTACTTCCCTGTGCTCTTCCTTGTACTTCCCTGCCCCCAAATCAATACCGGTCCTGAAGAACACCTGTGTTTTATATTGCTTTTCTTCTTTTAAACATCCCAAAGCCCTGGCTGTCTTTCTAATGAGAGCCATTGGTGGTGACCAGGCCCTTAGTTATCTAAATCATTTTGAAGATCTAATAAAATGTAAAGACTGCTATAAATAAAATATTCTTGAAAATATTTGTCATTTCACTCGTGGCCGAGGCCGCCTCTGACGTTACTGGGCTGCTGCCAGAGCTTGTGGGACCATCTCCCATGCATTCTAGATTTTAGTCTCTCATGCATAATTGGCTAAAAAAAAAAAATTAAGATTTCGAGAAGGGTGGCTGTGGCTAGGGGCCTAGGAAGAAGACAAATTCAGATTCAAGAAGTGTGGGAAACCGTTTTTGCCAAAGAGCTAGGACCGCCAGAGATGCCTAAGGCAATGGGAAGGAGACAGAGACACCTAAGTATGACTTCAGCATCATAGAACAGGAATTACAGTCGGTTGGAATACGCTGAGACTGAGAAGAGTCCATGATAATACTCAACAGGAACAATTAGTAGAAACGGCAGAGGAGAAAGCACTCATGCGTGTCTCATAAAGTTTACAAGACGTTCTGTTAATTGTTCAACACAGCTAATGTGAGTTCTTTACTCGAGGTTAGATTATACCAAGGTGAGCAATCACAGGTGAGAAACAGGTGTAGAGATGGAGTAAAGCATGCTTAAAGTAGATAATGTCGATGGTTTCGTCATTTTAAATGAACAGATGTTGCCCATCTAGAATTCACGTGATCTGAAAACTGAGGTCAAATCCTTCGTGGCCTCAAGCTAAAGACTATAGGTTAGGACTAGAGAGTGCAGACCCATTTGATCCACGTGGGAAGAGAGACGGCCTGTGCGGGGGTGGGGGGCCGGCAGACAGAGGGGGTGAGGAGGCAGACGGATGTCGTCGCCCCGATTATGATTCCCAATGCCAGCACTGCTGCATAGCTGCTGCTGTGGACCCAACTGCCCAATAAGCCATTAAGTTGTGCCTTGGGCGGAAATAGTCATGGAATTGTTTATCCTCTTGAAAGATTAAAAAAAAAAAAGATATTTCGAAATGCTACGACTTCTTAATTCATACTAAAATATTAGATACTGTGAGCTAGTGTCTTCCTACCTTTTCTATCACACTCCTAACAGTAATTATGGCCAAACTGTCAAAGGGCACCGAGAACCCCCGACTAGAACTGTGAAAAGCTGAAATTCTTACCGTCACCAGCTGTCCCCGCTTCCTGCCGCCATTGCGGACAGCTCCGTGGCTGGTGTTGCAGGGGGCGAAACGAGATTAAGAGACTAGGACCCCAGTGAAGGGCATGAGAAAGGCTGTCTGAGGGTCTGGGAAACGAAGCTTAGGGCCCCCTGTCATCTGGAGTTTGGAGGTTCTGGAAGATTTCTCCTTTTCCAGTGTGGTCCCAAGGGCCAGCTGCTCCTGACATGCTTGCTATTGTTCGAAGCTGCAGACAAACTCAATGTGCCTGGACCAGACCATTGTGCTCCATTGCCCAAACCAAAGTTTGCTCTCTCAGGACAAGAAAGACAGACTTCCAAGACAAATGGGGCTTGGGGTGACTGTCTCCCTTGCCTCGAAGGCTGATGTGAAGTCTTGTTCTAGGCGGGGTTTGTTTTAAAGGGCGGTTGTGCAATATTGGACCACCCCATGTCTGGGAAAAGGCTGAATAATTCTAACTTTTGCTGCAGAAATTCTAGTTAATTTAGTTAAAGTAGCATAGTTTCCGCCAGTGCCTCTGTGAGAACCACTGCATAGAAGGATGAGGAGTCACTAATTAATGGTGTGTTAGAGAAAAATGGTGCCTTTGATAATGAAAAAAAAAAAATCAATACCAAGGACATACAGTGAATGAATTAATGAACCTTCTGAGGCTAATAGATGATGGTCTCCTCATGGGGAGAGTGAAAAATGCTCTTGCCTGGGTTTGGTTGGGTCATTACAGGATTAATCATCATTGTCAGGCTGCAAAACCAGACCCTCCCTCCTTCCACTACCATCCTTTTATTTTGTCTTGCATAAATCAAGGTCAAAATTAAGGGACACTCTACCTCAAGAAGTCTCTTACCTGCTTCCACCCACTGACCAATCCATCAATCCAACCATCCACCATTAATCTGGTTAGCAGTCACGAACGGGCCATCTGTCGTGTGCCAGACGCAGGATTAGGTACTAGGGATCCAGTGAGAGAAGATGAACCAAATATCTTGCTCATATAGGACTTAGTTGGGGGAGATAGATTAAAAACAAATAAATGATTAAAGTAATTTCTGGAGGAAATAAAGTCACCCAGGGTGATGGGACACAGAAAGATTTGAATGGCTAACCCCCAGCCCCGGGGATAATTTAGTTTACATAGTTGTGTAATAATTTTCCCTTTTCCTCAGACAGAGAATGTGAATACATTTATACCGTGGTACCCGACACAGCACTCCTTGTCCCTAGAACAGAGAAGCCTTCACACTGACATGTGTTTGAGCTGACATGTCGGTGTCTGACCTTGCGAAGTCATTTCCTACACTGACATGTGTTTGAGCTGAGATAGTGACATGTCGGTGTCTGACCTTGCGAAGTCATTTCCTACTTAGGAAACTTAGACACAGCGGGCTTGGCTTCCGAGGTGTCCCAGAAAGTACCAGGAGCTGGTGTCCTTCGAAGACCTAGGCCTCGACATTTCCCAGGCTCCCAACCCAACATGGATAAAAGAAAAAAAGCGACCTATGGTTTTGGCTGTGAGGAAACGTTTTTGTGCATTTTGTACCAACGCAGGTTGATAAAGGCCCTTAACAGAGAGACTTGGGGGTGGGTGGGGCACTGGGACCCTCTCTTCCAGTTAAGTCTGAGTGTGAGGATCCCAGCCAGGGGGCATGGGTCATGGGGACATGGACGATGCTTCCCAGGGGTGGAGCAGCCTCCCAGACAAGAGACAGACAATGTCATAGTTATGTATGATGGTCGATGCTCAGAGTCTAAATCATTTTTGCGTGAGGATCATTGTAAAACACACATGTACACAAACAAATACTGTACGGTGAAATTAGGATGAACATGTCTGTGGCTTCTATGGGTGTGAATAGGAAACTAAAGAAAACTTATGATCTATTACATTTTTAAAAATAAGGGTCTCTGCCTTTTGTGGAATACGTTTCTTCATCATACAAAGTGATTCTGTACGAGGCTGGTGGGCTATTAAAGGGAAAGGCCATTGCCTCGGTCACACACAAAAACGTGTACATCCAGAAACAGGAGCCCCTGTGCACCACTGGTCAGAATGTAAAACAGTGCAGCTGCTGTGGAAAACAGCATGGCGGGTCCTCAAAAAATTAAAAATAGAAATACCATGTGATCCAGAAATTCCACCTCTGGGTTATACCCAAAAGAATGAAAAGCAATGTCTCGAAGAGATATTTATACAGCCATGCTCATAGCACCGTCATCCACAGCAGCCCCCAACAGAAGCAACCCAAGTACCCATCGACGGAAGAATGGACAAACAAAATGTAGAGTATCCATAACATTGAATATTATCCAGCTTTAAAAAGGAAGGGAATTCTGACATTTGTGGCAACATAGATGACCCTTGAGAATATTATGCTTAGTGAAATAAGCCAATCGCAAAAAGACAAATGCTGTGTGATTCTACTTATGTGAGGTCCCTGGAGAAGTCGAATTCATAAAGACAGAAAGTGGAATGGTGGCTGCCAGGGGCTGGGGCTGACGTTTGTTCTGCACGGTCTCTGTCACTCACTGAGGTGGAGCAGTTGGGTCTCAGTCATTATTTCAACCTGGAACTGTTAACTCCTAGTTTCATGTTTTCTCTTCTGCTGAAGTGGCACCTCCTTGCTCCGGGTCGAATCTCTATGCCTAACGCAGAACTTGCATGTAGTAGACGCTTAGTAAGTATTAGTCAAGTCAATACTACTGCGAATGTCAATAAAATGTCTATTTTGGTTTTACCCTGTAGAATTGACCACTTCTTTCTTGTGCATCGTGACTGGCAGAGGTTTTGCAATAAGACCTATAGACAACATTGAACGTGGTGCTTCTAAAACCAGAAGCTCTTAGAATTATTCACGGCCAATCCCATTTAGCTGCTCTTGGTCCTGCCAGAATCCCCAACAAGCATCTTGAGTCGGTTCTGATGATTTTTAAAGCCCTGGCCTTGCTGTGTTTCTTCTGGGCTTCCCAGGACCTAAACAACAGCAAATGAGAATTAACGTCCTTCTAGATGTTTTGTTCCAATATCCTTCTCCAAGAAGAGCTCAAACTTTGGATGGCATGACAGCGAAGTGGAAGTTGTCCTGGTTTAGACTGACCCCCAGAGGGCGCTATGAAGTCTGGAGTTCGCCGAAGATTTGTAGGTCAGGCAGAATTTGTGTTTCTCCCTGAGGATTTCTTTCATTCTGCTGCCGTAGGAGCTGCTTCATCTGATCCTGCTCTGATGACAGCTTACTCTTACAGCCACAGACTAGCCCTGAAATACATCAAGTATTTAAGGGAGTTTATTTTATAGTGGCTTTAACTCCAGAATTAGCTGTCAGACCACTTATTACTTTAGTTAATTAACGCTGGCCATTTAAAACTTTGTTGGCTAATTAGTGCTCGCTATATTATAGTTTCTGACGTTAGGGAGAAACATTTTTGCTCTTCTGTTTAATCTCATTGATGTGGTTTAGGTTGCAACATATGCAAGTGATAGTTCCTTTCCATCCTAAATACTAAAACTTTTTTTCAAGTATGCCCCCTCCCCCCAAAAAAAGGAAAAGAGAAGATATGTAAAGTTAATCCCCATTTTCAAGTAATTATTACCAGATTTTTATGAGTACCATCTGGTTTGAATGGTAAAAAGAAATAGTCCATTCAATTGTATCACTTTCCAATTTTTAAGCGTTGTGGGGTTGACGGAATTAACATCGCTTCCTAACAGGTCAAGAGAGCTTGACTCTTCAATAACCAAAGAAACCTCAAGGACACCCACGTGCTTCTTTTCAGATAATCATTTATTAAGTTACTAAGGTTTATTTGCTTTCATGGAATAGTAACTTATAAGATCTTTCCTTGGCTACTAACTGGCTTCATTAGTAATTAACTTGTATTTTATCTTGGTTA